TGCAGCAGAGGTCTGCCTGCAGGCATGGCTGGAGTAGAAGCTGTCCTGATCTAAGAACTGTAACCTGAGTCGTTCCTGATCCTGAATTGTAACCTGTTACTTTCCTAATAAACCTCATAATAGTGAGTATGATGTATGAGTTGTGTGTGGTCATTGCAATGAATTACTGAACCCAGCAAAGAAGTGCCAATGGGAGGGACGGCTGGTGTTAGAATTGGTAAAAAGGTTGGAGAGAGGAGCTATGTCTGACCTCTACCTCATAGGCATCAGCTTTGGGCTGATTCTGATCTTGAGTCTCTCTCCTCCACTTGTAAAATTAGAGGATGTGGTCTGACACTGCTGCCATGCCATTTTTAAAAAACATTATGCTAACCGAAAGCCAGAAACAAAAGGTCACATAGTGTATAATTTCATTTTTATGAGATGTACAGAATATGTAAATCCATAGAAACAGAAAGATGATTAGTGGTTGCAGGGACTAGAAGCAGGGAGAATGGCGAGTGACTGCTTAGTAAGTATGGGGTTTCTTTTTGGAGTGATGGAAATGTTTTCGAATTAGATAGTGGTGATGGTTGTATGACATTGTGAATGTACTAAAAGCCACAAACTGTACATTTTAAAATGGCTCATTTAATATTATGTGAATTATACTTCAATAAAAAAAAATTATAGAAAATACCAGAAAATGTCACATTTAGGATGGGTTGTTTCATAAACAAATATACACTGTAGGGAGAATGTGTGTACTGGCTCACATATAAAATGTATTACTTAACATGCACTGTGGTCCAAAAAATGTAAAGGTTACCACGCTGGGACTATCTAGTTTAACTCTATCTTTTATAGAGGAAACTAAAGCTCAAAGAGGGAAGTGACTTGATGATGGACAACAGGAAGTCAGCAGCAAAATAAGGACTAGAATCTAGGATTGTCTGATTCCGTTACACTAATGCTATATTAACTTAAAAAGTATTATAATTTGTGGTAATTTTTTATAATCGCTAAAGTAACATATGCTTGTTTTAAAAAATTAACATAAATATTAATTTTTAATGTCTGCTTGATATAATACTAATAGGGGAAGAAGGAAGAAGATTAACCATTACGACCCTAGACCTCTATACTCAACTGTAGCTAGACAATTTTGTTCTACTTTGAAAAAAAATAAACAGCTTTCAAGATAATTTACATTTTTTAAAGTGTGGACAATATAAAAAGGGCCCAGAGACATTTCAATAAATGCCGGACATATTTGAGAAGATAAATAATGAGGAACTGTTTAAAGAGTACAGGTTATTTCATTTAGAAGAGAAAGGCTGTGCTTCAAGTTTAGAGGGTTATCATCAAAATGAAAGGGGTCAGCCATGAAATCTTAGTAAAGCCCATGGCTTAAATTCAATCCTGCGGTAAACAAGTAGAGTCTGAGCAAGACTTGCAACAAGATGCCCCTTCTTCCCTATACTTATGGTTTAGGATGAAAGGTAGTTTCTACTTAATTCATGGAAACATGAGCTAAAAAGGGCTTTGGTTGTTACTCAAGATAACTGGTTAAAAAAAAATGCTTCATTCTTCTCCTAAAAACTAAACCACTCCCCATACCTCTGGCTACAGAATCAAGTTCACACCTCTTAGCTTAGAATTCAAGGCCTTGATAAGCCAGCTCACCCATTTTACCAGCCTTATTACAATCATAGGAACAGATATTCTCTACTTTGGCCAAATCAATCTTTATCTTCATCCCCAAAACTATAGAAGCCAATTAAAGTTTGATTAAAATAATTTAGAATCTTAGTTGCAGATAACCATCACTTAAAAAAAATCTTTATTTTGAAATAGTCAGGAATTTACAGAAAAGTTGAAAGTATAAGGAACATTTTCTGCCTAAATCATTGAGTAAGTTGCTGACCTAATGCCCCATGATTCCTGAATATTTGTGTGCTTTTCCTATAAACAAGGACATTCTTCTATATAACCTCAATACAACCATTAGTATCAAGATTTAATAATGATATGTAACTACCATTTGATTCTCAAATCCCATTCAAGTCTCACCATTTGTCCCAATAACCTCTTTAATAGCAAAAGGATTTAGTTCAGAACCATGTGTTGAATTTAGTTATCACGTCTCTTTAGTTTTCTTCAGCCTAGAAGAGTTCCTAAGACTCTTTGGATTTCATGACCTTGACACTTCTAAAGATTATAGGACAATTATTTAGTAGAATGTACGTACCTCAATGTAGGTTTGTGTGCACACTGCATCTTAGAAATATCACTGGTGATATGTATTTTTACTATATCTATCTTATCAACCGGCTCACAATTTGGATTTGTCCCATTACCAATAATGTTTGGAGCCTGGGTGGTGCAGTGGTTAAAAGCTCAGGCTGCTAACAAAAAAGTTTGCAGTTCGAATCCAACAGCCATTCTTTGGAAACTCTGGGGCAGTTCTACTCTGTTCTATAGGGTTGCTATGAGTAGGAATCTACTTGATGGCAATGGATTGGTTTTTTTTGGTTTTGACACGTCCCATTGTTCTTTGAGCACACCCTTGCTTTCTCATACAAGATATTCCAGGCTCATCTTGTACTTCCCTGCCCCAGCCCTGAAATAAGGAGCCCTAGTTCCTTTTAGTGGTAAATGGTATTTAAAGGCCAAGACCTGGATAGTAGGTGTGCTCATTACTATTGAGGTATTATTGCTCCTGAACTCTCTCACTGGACAGTTAGGCAATATATGTATATAGAGATACACATACACCAACATACTCAGACATGTACATCTGTTTTTCCTATATCTACCTATTTACATATTGAATTCACACTGATACTTCCAATTTGAATCCAACACAGTAAGATTCATTCAAGTTTTTCCCCTTTCTGTATTGGTATCACCTTTCTCTGACAATGGGAAACAAGGCTCTAACTATGGTACACCTACGTTAAGAGTTTTGAACTTTGGACCCATTCCTCCTCTCAGCAAAGTATCATGCGCCCCAAGGCAAAGAAACCACTTAGTAGAAAAATGTCTCAAAGCATGGAATACTATGAAACAATGAAGAACAATGATCAATCTGCAAAACATCTCACAAAATGGATGAATCTGGAGGGCATTATGCTGAGTGAAATAAGTCAATCACAAAAGGACAAATACTGTATGAGACCACTACTATAAAAAGTCATGAAAAGGTTTAAATACACAAAGAAACAATCTTTGATGGTTATGAGTGGGGGGTGGGGGGTGGGGAGGGAAAAATACTAAATAGAAAATACGTAAGTGGTTAACTTTGGTGATGGGTAAGACAGTACATAATACTGGGGAAGCCACAATACCAAGGCAAGGTCATGGAAGCTCCATACACACATCTGAACTCCCTGAAGGACCAAATCATTGGGCTGAGGGCTAGGGATGATGGTCTCGAGGGATGTCTAGCTCAACTGGCATAACATAGTTTATAAAGAAAATGTTTTACATCCTACTTTGGTGAGTAGCGTCTGGCGTCTTAAAAGCTTGTGAATGGCCAGCTAAGATACTCCACTGGTCCCACCCCATCTGGAGCAAGGGAGAATGAAGAAAACCAAAGACACAAGGGAAAGATTAGTCCAAAGGACTAATGGACCACAAGTACCACAGCCTCCACCAGACTGAGTCCAGCACAACTAGATGGTGTCTGACTACCAACACTGACTATTCTGACAGGGATCACAATAGAGGGTCCCAGATAGAGCTCGAGAAAGATGTAGAACAAAATTCAAACTCACAAAAAAATAAAAAAGACCAGGCTTGCTGGTCTGACAGAGACTGGAGAAACCCTGAGAGTATGGCCTTCAGGCACCCTTTTAACTCAGTACTGAAGTCACTCCTGAGGTTCAGCCTTCAGCCAAGGATTAGGCAAGCCCATAAAACAAACAACAACACATGTAGCTCAACCATGTATACAAGATTAAATGGGCACACCAGCCCAGGGGCAAGGACAAGAAGGCAGGAGGGGACAGGAAAGCGGGATAAATGGAAATGGGGAACCCAAGGTCGGGAAGTGTTGACACGTCATGGGGTTGGCAACCAATGTCACAAAACAACAGGTGTATAAATTGTTTAATGAAAAACTAATTTGCTCTGTAAATCTTCATCTAAAGCACAACTAAAAAAAAAGTCATAAGGCAGATAACCCAGTACATCTACATCATCACCTTTAATTATGAAAACAGTATAGTCACTTAAAAAAGCAATAGTCACAAGTTTAGTATGATTTAGTCACTCCCTGTTCAGCCATTAAAAGACCATCCTAGAGTTCAAAATTAATGCCAAAGAAGAAAACGGTTGGTACTACAAAGCACTGTGCCATGTATGTGCCCTTCAGACAAGTTACTATTTCTAGGACTCATTTTCCTCATTTGTAAAATGAAGATGCTGGACAAGATCAGTGGTTCCCAAATGTGAGACCTACTGCATTTAAATCATTTGAGAAATGTTAAAAAATTCTAATTTCCATTCCAGACCTACTGAATCTTTGGGCATTTTTAACAGGTTCTTCAGTTGATTCTGAAATGCAGACAGGTTGGACTAAATGATTCTTAATTTCCCATCCTGTGTTACTAACACCATTGAGCTTTATATATTTTTTCTGTAATCTCACAACAACCTTGCAAAGCATATATATTAGTGTTACTGTTCTAAAGATTAAGAAACCAAGGCTCAGAAAAGTACACTGTCCAAAGTCAACCAATTAAGTAAACAGCTGAGCCAAGAATCTAACCTGGTTTGTCCATTCTATCCCAAATAACAATTTCTTCTCTGGTTCTAATATTATTCTGTAGAGTACTTAAAACACTGCCTATTATTTTAAACTTATTTTTAAAAGGAGAAAAATTTCAAGTGTCTGTTTTGAGAAATGATTGCTGAAACAAAGTTGTGGAGAAGAGGGTACAGTCAGGTGGGAAGGCAAGATTAAGGCTCATATTATGTCACCTCAGAAACTGCAACACACAGACAGCAACACCCACCTTAACTGTACCATCGTCACTGCCAGTGCAGACAAGCTGGGGACCTCTCCTGGCCGGATAACAGGAATTCACAAAGGAAGTATGTCCCTTCAGTCTTTTAACCCTCTCGCCTGTCTCACTATCCCACACAGCTACAGTTTTATCTGTGGATGCTGAGAAGAGCATACTAGAAGGTAAGAGGAAGGACAAAAAAGAAATTAAGTGAAGACAATAGCAATCTTTCCTACTTGCCAAAATTCTGACAGTTTTACACATGATGCTTCTCTCTGCTTAGAATACCTTACCCTACCTAAAAAATCCTACTCATGCTCTAGACCCGATTACAAGATCTACTCGATGAAGTTTTAAGAAACATCCTTTTCTGACTCTCTGTGATGTATTATACATCTATCAGTTTTCTCAATCTTTATTACTCCTTTGTGATACATAACATTTTACACCTAAGACACACTCCATCTGGAAATGTGTAATTACTCCCTGCTGCTGCAAAGATAAAACAGACTGTGGCAATTCCAGATCTGACAGCTGTGCAACTCCAACCCTTTCTCCAAAAATCAAAGCCTTTTTTTGGTCTCTTAGCGCTTCCTTTACTTAAATATTAATAGGAAAAATGCATAAAGGCTATATACCAGTTGACCCAGGGCACCCTAAGATTGTAGAGGTCAGAGGTATAAAAAACCAAAAATTTACCAAAATACCTAACAACGGAATTAACTTTGTATAACCAAATTTCCATATTATCAACAGGTATTCTATAATTATGCAGTCATTAAAACAATGGTTGTGATAAACAGAGACGCTGGGTGGATAAGGGAAAAAAGCAGCAGACAAGATCATATACGTACACAGGTCTAACAAATATATAAAAATCAGGTAGTTTTAAGTAGAAAAAACACTTGAGGGAAACATAATGTTAACAGTGATTATCTTTTGAGTGGTAGGAATATGGGTTATTTTTTCATCTTTCTGCTTTTATGGGGTTCTCAAAATAAATATTTTATTACTTTAAAAAAAAGTTAATTTCTTCACATAAAAATCACAATTTGCTTTATGTTTTAAGAAGAAAACAAGTTTGTCTGGGCTGGTAATATGTTAGATGACAAAGATGATGTACTGCATACATGGAACAATAGATATTTTACTGGGGTGACAATGACAAGGATAAGGTAGTGACTCACAATGCAGGGTCTCCTGAGAGAGGAAACTCAAGGTGACAGGTAAAAAAATGATGCTGAGAAAAATTAGTGGGAGAAGCAGTTGCCCTTCCATTACGCAGAATACTCACCTGCCGTCTGTGTTATAATGCAGTTCCATCACAGCTCCACTGTGTCCCTTCAATGTGGCATAGTTATCACAGTCACCATAGACATTCCACAACACTGTTAGGGAGACAGGAGTTTCATCTCACAATGGGACAAATGATGCCAGAAGAAAAGGAAGTCAAATGTAAGATGAAATGAATCCTTTGGCTCTTTTCTGATAACTCTATGCCTCAGGGTGAATGATATGTCTTCATTGCCCATTTTGATTTAGATGCTCTAGTTCTGTCATTCTAAAACTTACTGGTGGCCAAGCATCTGGAAGGCATGAGAATCTGCAGAATATCCATGAATTACTGATATATTTAATTTCATCAAACAAACTAGGAATGGTTTTACCAGCAGAAAAATAACTATTGCATATATGTTGTTTATTATCTACACAGCTACTCTTTAATAACACTCATCAAACTTCTATCCATGCTAGACCAGGCTCCCTGTGGACAGGAACTATGTTAACCTGTTGAGCCTAGATCTCTTGTCTTGCTCAATCAGTTCAAAATTTGCCTTAAGGAGGAAGATATTCTCGAGCTAGAGCAACTCACTTTCCAACTAGTTATATAATTCCTTCTGTATCTACCACACAGACCCTAAGTTCTACACCCAAGATCGTTCAACATTTTCATGCCTGATTTTATTACGTTAGTCACGTAGTTTGTTATGTTATCTCATCTTCAGAACTTATAAACTTAGAGATATCTTCTGTAGTATCCAAGGTTTTAAAAATAATCACTATTTAGCAGGGTGCAATTACATCAGATTCAAAAATTATGCCTTACGTATCAGTCGGTCAAATCCTGCAGATGCTAAGGTGGATCCATTCGGGTGAAACTTGCAACAGTACACTTCTCCTTCATGCCCTGACAGCAGCATGATTGGGGCTTGAAGGGAGGAACACCTTGGAGGTCCCTAAACAAAAGAAAGACATACAGAGTAACCACTGTATACTGGCAAAGGAGGCTGCAAAACTGGGGGTGAGGGGAAGGAAAAACAATGATCTAAGTGGATTTTAGCTTTTCTTACATCACTCATGCCTCCAATTGGATTCTCTGCTGCTGGACTTTCCAATGTCTACCTATTATACTCTCCTCCTACCTCACTCTGCTCCTGTCCCATAGCCAACTTATAGCTCAAACATGTTAAACTCATCTCACCTGAGAATCTTTACATTTGTAGTTCCACCTAACTGGAATCTTTTTCCCCTAGATCTTCCCATGTTTGGCTACATTCAAATGTTTCCTCCTCAGAAAGTCCTTTCTTGAACATTCAAACTCAAGTAGTGTCACTGCATTCCCATCAACATTCCATTAACCATACTGTATTTCTTTACAGTACTTACTGTTATCTGAAATTACCTTGTGTATTTGCTTACATATTTCGTCTGTTATCCCACTAGAACAGAAGCTCCACGAATGCAGGGATCTTGCCTGCAACATCATTCAATACTGTATTCCCATTGTATATTTAATGAATGAATGATTGAACTGGTCTTCTAACAATCCTGCCTAGGCTTAAGCAATTCACTTCTTAAACCTGATCTGATACTCTCATTTGTCAAATAGGAATGACATGTCAAATAGGAAGGACAGCTACACTACCAATAATCCCCAAATCTCTTCAGGGGTTTCCAGTTTATTTATTCAAAAAATACCACATGCCAGGCACTGTTCTAGGCACTGGGGAAATAGCAGTAAACAAAACAAACAATGAAGCACACATTCTAATGGGAAGGAGGGAGGCAAGGAGAGAGAAACAAGTAAAATATACAGAGGATGGGAGTCCCTGGGTGGTGCAAATGGTTAATGTGCTTGACTGCTAATTTAAAGGTTGGTGGTTCAAGGCTACCCAGAAGTGCCTCAGAAGAAAGGCCTGGCTATCTACTCCCCAAAAAATCAGTCACTGAAAAACCCTATGGAGCATAGTTCTACTCTAATACACATGGGGTTGCCATGAATCAGAGCTGACTTGGCGGTAACTGGTTTATGTGCTATGGAGAAAAACAAAGCAGGAATGTGGGTTAGAGAGTATGGGGTTATTGCAATATAAAATAGGGTGGTCAGGAAAACACTCACTGAAAAAATGATATTTGAGCAAAGATTCAAAGGAGCTAAGAGTATAAACCATGTGGACATTTGGCAGAAGAGCATTCACGCAGCAGGAGCAACAAACGCAAAGGCCCTGAGGCAGGAGCATGGAAGCCAGCATGGCTGAAGCAAGTGAGCAAAGGAAGATTGGTAGACCAAAGAAGTAAAGGGAAAGAGGGCAAAAGAGTGTAAAGATTTTGACTTTTACTCTGAGTGAAGTGGAAGTTCACTGAAAAGTTTTCAGTAGAGGAGTAAAGATCTGATTTACCTTTTACAAAGATTTCTCTGGCTGCTGATTGTAGATAACAAAAGCAGAAACAGGAAGACCAGTTAGAACCTGTCTACTGCAATAATCCCAGATGAGACAACAGCAAGGAGGTCATGATGGAGGGAGGTGGTAGAAGTGGTAGCACTTCTGGATATACATTGAGGGCAGTGCCAGCAGGATTTGCTGATGGGTTGGTTGAAAAGTCAAGAGAACACATGTATTCCCTCATCTGTACCTTACAACAGTGCAGTAGGAGAGGTGTGATCACTATCTCTATCTTACAAGAAGAGTAGTTAAGAGCATGGATTCCGGAGTCAGACTGCCTGGCTTCAAAATCTATTTCTGTATGCATATCTATGTTGATTGCAGCACTATTCACAACAGCAAAAAGATGGAAACAACCTAAGCGCCTGTCAATGGATGAATGGATAAACAAAACGTAGTACATACATATAATGGAATATTATGCAGCCATAAAGAATAATGATGAGTTCTTAAAATATAATGTGGATAAAACTGGAGGACATGTTGAATGAAATAAGTCAATCACAAAATGACAATGACTGTATGATCTCACTATTATAAAAAGACAACAATAGGTAGATATACTAAAACCAACGTTCACTGGTGGTTACCAGAGATGGGGAGGGTGGGGGAGAGATCACTCTCTAGATAGTAGACACTCATTTTTTGAGGGATGGGAAATATAATACCAAATGTGGGTGACGTATGCAGAGTTTGACGAAGGCAAATGTCGTCACCAAGAAGTATACAAGAAAAAAGGATGTTTTTGGTAAATGCTAGGACATGTACAACTCTGCAACAATAACAGGAGTGTAGATACGTGTGCGTGCATGTATGCATACAAATGTATAGGTATGTATATGTATGATATATACAGGTGGACTAAGATAGACATACCTACATGCAGGCGTGTATGTGTGTATATATATGTACATACACACGTGTAAGTATGCATCCATACATATTCGTACATACAATAAAGCACATAAGAGGCACAAACACAGATACTTATTAAATACATCACAGGACTGGTTTACGGGGTCAGAAGGCTTAGGATATAGTTTTGTGGGACAACTTGGTCAACTGGCATAATAAAGTACGTAAAATTTATGTTCTATGCCCTAGTTTGGGGAATAGCGTCTGGCATCTTAAAAACTTGCAAGTGACCATCTAAGATACAACTATTAGTCTCTACACTTCCAGAGTAAAAGAGAATGAAGAAAACCAAAGACCCAGAGAAGAAACTGGTCCACAGGACTAATAGTCTGAACGAACCACAATCTCATCTACCCTGAGACCAGAAGAACTAGATGGTGCCTGGCTACTACTACTCACTGTTTTGATCATAGCCACAACAGATAGATCCTGATAGAATGGGAGCAAAATCTGGAACATAACTCAAATTTTTAAAAAGTCCAGACTTACTGGACCAGTTGAGACTGGAGGACTCCCCAAGACTATCACCCTGAGATATTCGTTAAACCTTGAACCAAAACTATTCCACGAGATCATCTTTTAGCTAAGTAACAGACTGGCTCATAAAATAAACAATATCATATGTGAGTACTATACTCTTTTAAAAAATCATCTGTATGAGACCAAACGGTCAACACTTACTCTAAAGCAAAGATAAGAAGGCAAGGGAGCAGGGAAACTAGACTACTGGAAACAGAACAACTAGAATGTAAATAATGAACAGTCATGGCCCATGAAGTGAAACCCAAACAGACCCAAATTTTTAAAATGAGATAAAGCAGAATGGCAAAAATTATGGGTTGAAGCCTTGCTAGAAACTTAATCTCCCTCTTAGAAAACAAGGAAAGTGTGCACATTGCATAGCAACCAAATCTCCTGACTGGCAGAGTTGGAAACAGCGGTGCTCAGCTCAAAGATGGTGGCTCGAGCCACTCTGAATGTGTGTCATTCTTCAGTCCTGGCAATAATCGAATCTCCCAATAAGGCTCCTAAAAGGGCTCACTATGCCTCTTCTGAGTCTCCCATCCCAGGGCTTTGACCCAAAATTTTTCCCATTCTGCTTCACCTAAATTTTAAAAATTCAGGTCTGTTCCAATTTTGTTTCCTCAGCCATGGCTGAACCAGTTCAAAGCCCTGATAATAAGAAAGTAGACACAGTGCAAAATGTAACCAAGATCACTGAACAAACGTAGTAGAAATTGTTAAATGGGAACCTAATTTGCTGTGTAAACTTTCACCAAAAATATGATATTATTTTTAAGAAAACTATGTTTCTGTCACTTACTAGGTAAGTCTGTTTTCTCATCTGCAAAATAGGATAATAGTTCCTAACTCTTAAGATGCTCCCAAGATTAGTGGAGATTACATAAACAAAGCACTCAGCACAAGAGCTCAATGAATGTTAGCTTACTGTTAATAATACTGTTATTAAGTGCCGTTCGGTCCATTCCAACTCACAGCAACCCCGTGCACAATAAAACGAAGCACTGCCCAGTCCTGTGCCATCCTGACAATCGATGCTATGTTTGAGCCCACTGTTGTAGCCACTGTGTCAGTCCATCTTGTTGAAGGTCTTCCGCTTTTCCGATGACCTTCTACTTTACGAGGTATGATGTCCTTCTCCAGGGACTGGTCCCTTCCGATAACATGTCCAAACTAAGTGAGACAAAGTTTCACTATTCTCACTCGGAGGAGCATTCTGGCTGTACTTCTTCCAAGAGAGATTCGTCTGTTCCTCTGGCAGTCTATGGTAAATTCAATAATCTTCGCCAACACCGCAATTCAAATGCATCAATTCTTCTTCAGTCTTCCTTATTCCTTGTCCAGCTTTTGCACACACATGAGGCCAATGAAAACATCATGGCTTAATCCCCAAGGTAACACCTTTGCTTTTTAACACTTTGAAGCCGCCTTTTTGCAGCAGATTTTCATTGATACTTAATAGTTCTAGTAGTTAAAGTTAATAATACTAGTGCAAAGAAATAAAGGGAAGTTGAAAGAGAAAAAAGCAACTTGCCCTAAGTCCCAAAGCGAACCAGTACCTTCATTTCCCTCCTTACCTCTCTGATTCATTCGCTCTCCAAACTTTCCGTGAATGTTTATTCTATGCCAGATCTCTCGAAGTTTTAGGAGACGTAAGCCCGAGTTCCGGTTACGAGTCCAAGGCTCTTAACTACAATTCTAATGCCACCTCACAGGGCGGTCGAGACGCTGAAAATGAGGTGTCAAACACGAAAACACATACTGAACATCTGCAGCGTGTCGGGTGCTATTACAGAGGTTACTGCTTTAACTCCATATAGATTCTCGTTCCTCCCCCTCTCAGTGTGGGGAAAGGCCGGTTCGAGACCACCTGGTGCAGAGCTCCGAGGAGAGAGGAAGATGAGCTGAGGGCCGAAGGCCGCCTACTCCTTCACTTACCGCTTGCAGCAAAGCTCCTTGCTGCTGCCCTGCACCGGTGCCCGACCCCGCTGCTCCCAAGAGCAAGTCATGCCGCTGCCGCTTGACTGGGACCAAGGGTAACTCCGGACCCTTTCGCTTCTGCTGTTCTATCATGGCGGCAGCCACTATCCTCAGCACCGGCACTGACCGCGCCGACACACACAGGGACCAAGCGATTGGTTCCTACTTAGTCCTTCCCCCGGAACTTCCGGCTTGGAGAAACCAATCGGCTTCCACTTCTCCTCGCTGCGCCAAACTCTGGATAGTCTCGTTATTGGGTGACTCTTCCTGACGTCACGAGAGTACGACTCCAGGATTGGCGGATGGAGATGGAGTCCCGCCTAGGCGCGCTGTGTCTTGTGGGTGGAAGCGCGTTGACTGGGTTTGGCGTTTCGCGCAGTGCCGCAGCTGGGCGACCTGGAGCTAATACCGAGTAAGTATAAGGAAGATTGGGGTGTCTGCTCGACTCTGAAAATGGCACCTCGGTCATGGATTCTGAATTTGGCTTTTCTCAGGTGAAGGTGCAGATTGAAAAGGGTGGGAGGCAGGCCAGAGTTCGTAGCCCTGGTAAGTAGCAGCCTGGATTTCTCTTTCCAAGCAGCAGCAGAGCTTTGGGGTCTCTGGCGGCGGGACTCAGACCTTGCGGTTTCCTGGGGGTCCTCGCTGGCTGATTTCTTCGAAAAGCGACTACGTGTGTCCAGCCCTGTGCGGGGCACTCCCAAGGAGAAAAGGCCTGTTTCCCTGCCTCCACCAGTGTCCTATCTGACTGAGGAGGCGAGACTTCTTTCTGCCACTGATTCTGCAGCTTTTTGTTAGGGCCTACTCTATGCCTCTGAGACAGAGATGAATAAAATGTTCACCTCCTGCTTCTCGAGAGTACAGTATTGCTGAGAAATTTGAGACCTATACCTGTGAACTAAGCCTTGTCTCAATCATCCAACAGATACTGTGCAAAGCGTCGTGGATACAGTGTGAACCAAACATAGTCGCTGACCTCAGCGAGTTTGAGTCTGGCGGGGAAAAGTAAAGTGCTGTCTAGGAGAGGTACCTGATGCTCTGAGTGCCTGAAATAAGCAGGAAGGCTTCTCTGAGGGAAAGATGCCTGAGCTGGTATCTGAAGGAAGAATGCTAATTAATTAGGTGAAGAAGGGAAGGCGGAACATTCCATACAGAACGGCACGTGTAGAAGCCCTGTGCTGGGTGGGAACAAAATGACTAAAAGGTACAAAGAGGTCAGAGTGGCTGGTACAAAGAGAATGAAGGGGAGTATGGCAGGATGAAGTTGAAGGTGGTTAGAAGGTCAGACTTTGCAGGAATTTATAGCTTTACTTAAGACTGATGGGCAGTCACTGAGGGTTTTGGGGGTGGCTTGATCTCTGGCTTAGTGGTGTGAATAGATTGGAGGGGAGCCCTAGGGTATGCAGATAGACCACTTAGGGGGATATGCAGTAGTCCTTTGAGAAATGTTGGCAAGGAGGACTGGAATATTCTAGAGATTTACAGGAGGTGAAGTGGATAGAACCTGGTGATGGATTGGATTCAGGGATTGAAGAGAGGGGAATCAAAGATAATGCCTAGATTTCTGGTTTCTACAGCTGAATCGATGGTGTTACCATTCGCTGAGGTCGGGAACACTGAAAAACAGATGCTGACTAGAAATTAGGTTTTTGCTCATTGTTGGTGGTTTTTTTGGGGGAAGGGTTATTCATGACATCTAGGAGGCAATTTGAAATATGGCTTTGGAGCTCAGAAGATGTATTTGTGTTGGGAATATAAATTTGTGAGTAATATAGGTGACAGTTGAGTCATAGGCAAGGTCACCTAAGTCAGAACCTAGGGTAATTCTAACATTTAATGGCCAAGAACAGGAGGTTGAGCCTACAGGAGAACAGAGAAGGAATAACTAGAGAGGAGAACCAGTGAAATGTTGTTTCAAAAGTGAGGGAATGGTCTGTGACAGAAATTCCTGGAATTTAAATAACATGAGGACTGGAAAATGTCTCCTGGCTTTATCATCATTGAAGGGTTCACCAAGGATCCAACTGAGAGAATGAGAGAGAAATTGAATATACAAGAGAGTAACTGGGTCATCAATATTGTAAAATTTCTCAGAAGATGAGATCTGAAGTACAGGTGGAGGGAGCAAACTTAGGAAGATGGACAGTTTCTCCATTTTATGTAATGGAAGAAGAGAATGAAGACTATAGATATAAGTTGTTTGTATGTTTCATACTGATAGATTCATTCCTGTCTCATGGCTTTTATTTTCTCGGTGAAGTAGGAGTTGGGATCATATACTTAGAGTGACAGAAAGTCAGAGATTTGAGGAGATTACAGAAGATTTGAAAGTTATTGTAGAATGTGGGAGAATGAGTTTACCAGAGAAATGTAGGATTTCTAGGCAGAGTTAAGGACCTATTTTGAGACTGGAGATCATAACTTTTTTTTCCAGCAACACCAGGCTAATTAGTACAGGCATGGAGAAAGCATATCCAGGTATGGCAAGGACTGTGGATTTGGCTTGCACAACATACGTTGTAACCTCAAATGTGCCGTCTCTTACTCAAGAGGCTGGAAAGCTAAAAACTTTTTCCTAGACTCTTGCGGCTGAGATGAGAATTGGGTTTGGAACTGAGCTAAATGTGGAGAGAAGCAGAGTTGAAGGCATCCAGTTTTGCTGGCAATTATGGCAGAGGCAGTGAGTTTTTTCAGTCAACAGTTTGCTCATTTGGTGACTTTATGCAGTGATAGCCATAAGTTTCTTGATCTGGGTAGCAAAGGTGGTGCTGTGTTGTAGGTCAGGAGTTATTCCTGGAAGTTCTATCAGAGCCTGTTCCTGTCACCCTTCCAGTAATTTTGAAGGCCACATAATACATGGCAATAAATCCCTTCTCTTAACCTAGCTACAGTTGATTCTGTTATCTGCAACTGTTCCCCACCAGGGTAGGGATACTGCCAAATATGTAAGCTGTAGAGACAGGTAAAGAGAGTTAAGGGTATTATTTGAATGATGGACTGGAATCTAAGCTGGATAGGGAAGAAAGTGAAGAAAAAGGAGAGGACTGATAGATGGGAAGAAAATAGAGGCCAGTACTTCAGGGTTCTAATGTGGTCAAAGAACAGTATTCTCTGCTTGGAGATAGCCATTTATCCTTAAAGGCCTACTTAGTTGTTTTCTGTTAACGTCCCTGCTTCTCCCAGGTCTTTTTGCTGTTTCTTGTTTGTTCATTACTTTGAGCCTAGCCATTACTCAAGCAATTATCATGCTGCAATGTAACTGGTTTCACCGTCATTCCTACCAGACTAGGACATTTTTGAGAATAGGGACTGTGTCGAAAAGGGTGGTTTAGTGGCATGTGTGCTTAGCCCTTGGAATTGCCTGAGATTTGTTTCTTTCTAGCTTTGTGGTTTTGGACAAGTTACTTCATTTCTGTAAAATAGAGATATCTATTTTGTGGAGTTGTTTTAAGGACTAAAATTAGGTTTGTAAAGTAACTAGCACAAGGCCTGGCATATAAGCGTCAATAAATATTGTGCTGAGTTGATGAATTAATCAACAATTTAAAATAGGGTAACATTAAGTACTTCAGTATTTTCAGCAGCCAGTTATAAATTTCTGTGTGCCTAATACTGTGTTAGGCACTGGAGATTTGGGGTGGGAGGATATGGTGATGTACAAGACAAGGGCATGCTTACAAGAATTACACAATCTAGAAGGGGAAGAAAACGTGTTCACAAATAGGATTATAGGATTTGAATCCCATCTCCATCATTCATAGTTTTGTAATCTTGGGCAAGTTACTTAGCTTCTCGTGTGTCTTAGTTTCTTCATCTATAAAAAGGCAGTGATAACTGTCTGTCTCGTAGGGTGGTCAAGAAGAGGATTAAATTAGTTAAGACAAGTAGAGCTCTTAGATTAATACATGGCAAATAGGAAACACTCAAATTTTAACTATTGTTATTAAAATACTTGGAAGGGACCTTAGGGATTATTGCCTGAAAGAACAGTGTAGGATAGTAGAGTAAGTACTGGTCCTGGGATCTAGTACCAACATTGCTAACTGTGAGCAGTGTTTGTCAAATCACTTGACTTCTCTTAGCCTCAATTTCAGTTAAAGAGCTTAATAATATCTATAATTCCCTTCAACTTGTACATTTTAGAGTCCACCTTCTGTGCTTTTCCTGGATTTTTACTCTTCTTCCCCTTCCCTGATTTTGACTACTTTAACATGTCTGTGGCTGGAGCTTGAAACACAAGATGCATCTATTTAAGATAGTGAGCTTGAAAAGGAAGAAGTATCTGTCTAAGGTTGTCACTCTAGGAATATGGTGGGGAGGAGGAAGGTTAGGCCACCAGTGTGGCATTTGAAAGTCTCTGCTGACATGTCCAACATATTTTATGGGACTCAAATTCCTTCTCCTCCTATATCCTTTAGACACTGGAATGCTTTCCCCCTTCTTTCTTTAGCTCTACTTGATGCATAGTAAGGCTCTGTTCATTCATTCAAGAAATCTTTGAGTACTTATTGTATATCAGGCACTGGGACCTCAAGATTAAATCAGAAATGGCCCTTGGTTTCATGTTTCAATGAACGAATCCAGACTCTGATCATCCTAGCTTTCTCCATGAATGATGCCCTTCTAATTATTCCACATTTATTCCTCTGATGGTGGGACCTAGTTAGTGTTAGAGCTGTACTCTACAAAATTTAAACATGGACTCTGTATTCTTTTTGAGGCAGTGTAGAATAATGGTTAAGAATGCGGTTTCTGGAGTTATTATTCTTTGTTCATATCCCAATGTTAGCTGACTCTTCTCTCAATTTGTTTACTTAGGTTAAAGTTAAATTAACATCCCTTTAACTTCTTCAGGCTTCTAGTTAATTAGTATTGTTACGTAACAACAAAAAGAAATCTAAATTGAAAGAAACTTAAAAACAACAACAAAAATCTGGACCAGGTCAGAATGGCACATGAAATCAAGTTTCAAAGAGGCTATAGAGTATCTTACTAATTTAATATTATTTTACTAAGTTTTTATTGCTTGTTGGGAGGGAGGACAGGATGTGGCTATTATTTTTTTTTTAACTGCATGCACTTTTTTTTTTTTTAAACTTTGAAACTATCACAAAATTATGG